ATTTTCCTAAAAGTATCTTGGTGATGGCAATTTTCTTCAAATACTTACAAACTGACATCATTCTGACCCCTCATTGAAAGCAAAATTTCATAGCCAACCAGGGCAAGAATCCAGAAATGAACCTGCTATTCTGTCAGGCAGACAGAATGCCAATAGACAGTGTATAATATGCCAAGTCGTGCCCCTGCAGTGTTCTGAGTAAGACCAGATGCCCGTGTGATAGCTCATGGTGGGGTCAGGGGAGAGGGTAGATCAAGGGCAATCAGGCCACAAGAAACATTTCTTCATCAATAAGAATACTGCTAAAGAGACAGAGAAGAACTCAGCCATTACTCCTTTATGCTCAACTCTCTCTCTCTATGGGGAAAACTGAGGAAGGGTTTATTTGAAGAAAACACTGTAAGTACTATTAGACCAAGGACAATAAACTCCGCCCCTCCAGAACAGCCCCTATAGACCATATGAAAATGGCAACACTAAACAGCTCCACCAACTAAAAACTTGTCATCAAAGATGAAATACTAGAGGAGAAATTTATGATTAAAATTTCTTGGCTTCGGAGATGGTTGGCTCAGTGGTTTAGAGCCCTTGCTGCTCTTGCAGAGAATCAGGGTTCAGCTCCCAGCACCCACATAGTGGCTCATGACTGCCTCAATTCCAGTTCCCGGGGATCCAATGCCTTCTACTGCCCTCTGTGGGCTCTGAAACACTTGTGGTGCAAATAAAGTTGTAGGCACACACATACTCATAAAAATAATGGATACTAAATAAAATCTGTTGGTCTTATGTGGTGTGGTATGTGGTGCGTACAATCTCTCAGGAGGATCAGGAGTTCAAGGTCATTCTCATCTACATATTGATTTAAAGGCCAGTCTAGACCATAGAAAACCTTGTCTCCAACAAAACAGTTTTGTCTATTCTGATCATCTTTCAGTTTTAAAAACATGCCATCACGTTACTGTACTTTGAATGTAAATCATTCCAAGACAGAGCCACCAGATGGCAAAGTCAGTCCTAGAGGAAATGTATTCGTTAACACTGAAAGATTACATTAAGTCTTCCAGGTCTCCACGTCTGGATTAAGTTGGTAATGCACATACAGTGGGTACATAACTAAGGATCTGATAACTGCAAATTGCTTCATTATACGTAAAAGTGAAGCCAAGCTGAAATCTCTCTGCTCTTCCTTTATGATTTCACATGCTGTGCGACTGAGCACTCAAAGTGACTCATTAGCAATCAATCTTAGATGCAGGCTCTTTTCATGGAGACTCTGAAAGAGGTGCCAGCTACTCTACTTGAGATTTCTAGAAGGCTCCAAAGAGAAATTGTGTCCTGTTGCCAAAAGGCACAACTCAGGAAATTAAAACAACAAACAAACAAACAAAAAACCCGGCAAAGTCTACCAAAAGACCAAAGTCTGCTGCAAAGTGTTGATGTTTAATAAGCAACAAAAGAAAGCTTACTTGGTGAAAGGACAAAGATAAAAGCTCTGAGTAAGTGTTGCCAATAGCACAGCAGTAAATAAGTAAATAGCTGGCTGTAGCATTCTGCCCGAATAGCTCATGCAAAAAAAGTACAACTGGGATTTCTGTCCACTCCTACTGTTGAAGAAAACATAGGCTTTGGAGTCAAACAGATGTGACTTAGAATACAACTAGCAGTGTGCTATGCTATCTAACCTCTCTGATAATGTTTGCTTGTGTAAAACTAAGAAGCAATGAAATCCCATAAACACATACTGCAAAGTAGAGCACTTCTTATATAGCAGAGTCGTCAATGAGTACAAATTCCTTCACTCTTCACTTCCAGTCTTCATCTATTTAAGTGCTGGCATGTGGCATTAGTAGCATTCCAGCACCTTCCTGCCATCTGCAGTAACTAGGCGAGGAAAGAGAAAACCCTACCTGGGAAAGCCATCTTGACCTAGCCATGATGATTTTCAAAACAGATGGACTTCTGCCGCCATTTTGCCATGCTAGAGCAATGGGACTGACGTTTTCTCCATAACTGCAATGAACTCAGGAGCTGTAGACCTGGGGGCATGTCACTGAATTCTGAGAGGCGTCTATCACATAGCATTTGCCTTTACTAAACAAGCACTGTCCTGGCAAAGTCCCATGAAAGCAAATACTTCCTGACACAATTTTATCCCTCCATCGACGGTTTGTGTACCACAGTAACTATTAACATACAGGTCAGTGTAAGACAGAAACAGTTCATGGATCAAAGTGCCCCAAGCGTTGGATCAATGGAGAAAGTACAAGCATGTCATTTCCCTAAGCTTCCAGCACACAGCTGGTGGCAGAGCTGAGCTGGCTTGGCTGACTGTCCATGCCTCTTCACCACCTGCAGACTGCCCCAGCCCCAAAGGACACCACCTGAACCTATTAAGCAAATGTCAAAGAGTATCCTTATTTAAAGATAAATCATCTTTACAGGCTTCCAAAACCTACAATGTAACAATTCTAGAAATGCTTTGCTGCCCCACTTCCCTCCTTCTTTCTCCCCCCTCCCCCACTTCCTTCCTCTGCAATCTGCCTCCCTGACGACTCAGCATTGACTACTTACTTTCAGGCTCTTCTGATAAGTGACGAATAGCCAGAGGAAAAGGAAAAATACAAACTCCTGGCAATCGAGAGGGGAGATTCCGGGGCTTATGCACTACTCTCGTTAACAGTGAACTTTGAATGTGGAAATATAGACATTAGTAATCCATACCAATATGCTAATGAAAAGTCACAAGCTATAGGAAAAGCAAATATTATTAATTCATTTAGTGCTGACTCTCAGAATCCTAGCTACAAAGTAGTTATTTGGAAAGTAAATGCCTCCCTATTTATAGAACAGGATTTTGCTTTGAAATCCAAGTTTAAAGGATCACAAGGCAGGCCCGTATTATTTCCAGCATGCAGAGATAGTTACTACCCAAATACCCAAATATGCCTACACATTAATGTACTTCTCATTAATTTCTATGCATTCTTCATTTTATTGAGCAATATGGCCTGTGGCTACTTAAAAGTCAAAACTAATACATATACTGACCATCGTGTACAGCAAACCAGCCACTTTCTAAGCCTTTTATACTATTGCAGGACTAATTCCCGATCCAGAAAATAGACACACACTTTCAGATTGTTGTCATTTAAATTAAAAACATGGAAGGCTTAAAAATTATACTCTACATTTCATCAAAAGCACAGGAATTGTTAACATGGAATCAGAAGATTATTGATCTCAAAGATATTTAAGGCAAATGCTGAGACCTGATCTTAAGATGACATCAGAGCATGCTAAGGAAGGGGGGCTAGGTTGGAGGTCTTTGTCCCTTTTTCCCCAGTTTTGTCCTGGTCTTCACCATCCCCACAGACTCCTCGCCCATTCCTTCTCCGAGTTCTCTCAGCCCAATGTGTACTCCTTGACGCTGGCTTACTACCATTCATTTCCTCTCTTGGCCTTCCACAAGAGTGACTGCATCATCCAGCCACAGCAAACTGGAGTTTCAGAGTGAGGACACACACTGCACTTTTCTCTTTCAATGTGAATGTCCATAGAAGCCTATCACATTAGTCTTGTGTAATTAATTCAGTAAGTTTTAGGGACGAGGTCTCATACTATGTAGCCCCAGCTAGCTTGGAACTCTTTATGTAGACCAGGCTATCCTCCAGCTCACAGAGATCCACCTGTCAGTAATTTTTTACTACGATTAAAAACAGCAACAGTTCCCAGAGGTAACCACACATCTCTGGAGGTCTGAGGGCATATATATTTGATTTTTTTTAAAGTCCAAAGCAATTACCCTGTAGCTAATATAGCAGAGGTCATTTCTCTTCAAACCTCACATTACCTCCCGGTATATCACCCTTATTCCCAGACCTGTTCTATTTCTACAGAGCTGTGCTTCAATCAAAAATACCTAAGACTAATCTGCACTTCTCAAGTACTTTTACAGCTAATTTTTCACGTGTGCCACTAGGAAATGGTAAGTAAACTAATTCTCCAGGGCTTATTTTCTAGAGAGCAAAGAGCAGGTTATAATAAGATCGGAGATACCATTAATATTCAATTTACCAGATAAACCTTGTCGGTGATAATAAGTCACTAATGCCAATCACAGAGGGTTGGGAGAAAGGACATGTGAAAACAAACAAACAAACAAATGCAGGCCTTTCTGGAAGACACCCGATCACTATCTCACCTCATTTTGAGAGACAGCCTCATTTTTTAGGATAATCAGGTTCCCGGTACTCTGCCTCTGCCCACTTTGGCCCGTGAGATGCCTGTTATCAGTCACCGAGGCTTGGGCTCCCCCAGGTCCTGGCCCTGTCTGGGCCCCTGTGTTGTAAAACATGAAAGTATCGCTCCCTGAGCCTGCTGTCAGGCAGGCCTTGTAGCAGTAGGTCTTGGTGAGGGAGCCATTGCCTCGAACTTCAATGAAGTGAGGCTGTACTTTGAGGCCGTGTGGTATCCTGGCATCGATATTGTTATTGGCCTGTTTGTACAGTTCCGCCGGGCACCGCTCCCTCACTCCACAGAAGCCTCCGCAGCACGCCGTGCCGTAGGCAGTGTAGCGGTAGCACTTGATGATGCTCAAAACAATGATTGTCAAGAGGAATATAAAAGACACTGTGCTTAATGCTATTATGAGATAAAGTGTGATTTCAGAGTATGTCCGAGCACTCTTTATATGTCTCTGAGTGTCCGGGAGCATTTTAGAAACCCTGTCCACCACAGCTACCGTAATGGCCACAGTAGCTGATAGAGGTGGCTCTCCATTGTCGCGAACCACCACAGTCAGGTTGAAAGTGGTACCACTCTCATCTCCTATCTTTCTGGTAATCCTAATTTCTCCCGTGTGAAGTTCTACTTTAAAGAGGTCGGAGTCAGACGTTGGGACTAAATGGTAAAAGAGCCAAGCGTTCTGCCCAGAGTCTGAATCCATGGCTATGACTTTGGTGACCAGGTAGCCAGCAGGGGCAGTCCGAGGCACCATCTCAATGGCTGCTGATGAATTAGTTGAGGTAGGGTATAGAATATGAGGGGCGTGGTCATTCACGTCCACCACATACACATTGGCGGTCACAGTGCTACTTAGTGGTGGCCTCCCCTTGTCCTGGGCCTCCACGGTCACAAAGAACTCTCGAAATTTCTCGTAGTCAAAGGAGTTGACAGCATAAAGGCTGCCGCTGGCACTGTTAATGGAGACATAGGAGGTGACTGGCAGCCCTTGGATCTCCCGGTCTAGGAGTGAGTAAGTCACCTCTGCGTTCTCCTTTTGATCTGGGTCTGTGGCTTGCACCGTGCAAAGCAGCACACCCGGCAAATTGTTTTCCTGGACGTAGATGGAATAGGAGTCCTCCAGAAAGCTCGGCGGATTGTCATTGATGTCAGAGATCTCAATCTGCAGTGTCTTTTGAGAGGTGAGTGGTGGTGTTCCCCCATCAGTGGCCGTCACTGTGATGTTGTAGGCAGCTACCCGCTCCCGATCCAGTGGGCCACTCACCACGAGTGTATAGGAGTTTCCAAAGCCATTGAGCCGGAAAGGCAGCGTAGCCTCCAGACCCAGGCTCACTTTCCGGTTGGAGCCCGAATCTTGGTCATTCACACTGAGAAGGGCCACAACAGTGTTGAGAGCCACATCCTCGGGCACTGGGCTGTACAAGTCTGTGAGGACCACCTCGGGAGCGTTGTCATTCACATCCAGAATGTCCACCAACACCTTGCAGTGACCCGCCATGGGTACTGGTCCCCGGTCAGTCGCTTGCACATAGATCTGGTAGGAGGAAGACTCCTCATAATCCAGAGTCCCACTTACTCTGACTTCCCCTGTAACGGCATCTATGCTGAAAAGTTGTCTCTCCCGGTCAGATGTGTAGCTGCTCAAGGAGTACCTGAGTTCACCGTTAGAACCCTCATCCGGATCCGAAGCATTCAACTTCACTACCAAGGTGCCTGGGGGAGCGTCCTCCCGCAGCTGGACACGGTAAGTGGATTGGTCAAAGGCAGGAGAATTGTCATTAGTGTCCAGGACGCGAACAGAGATCTGAGCTGTGCCTGAGCGAGCTGGAATGCCCCCGTCCACCGCAGTGAGAACCAAGTGGTGCAAGGCAGCCTGCTCTCGGTCTAGGCCCTTCCGCAGCACGAGCTCCAGCACCTTGCTATTCTCCTGCAGGGGTTTAAGGTCCAGCTCAAAGTGTTCGCTGGGGCTGAGCTCGTAGGTCTGCACTGAGTTGGCACCAACGTCGGGATCCTGTGCGCTCTCAATGTGAAACCGCGCTCCAGGTGCCACAGACTCGCTTACCTGAAGCTGGTAGTCCGGCCGCGGGAAGCGCGGCGAGTTATCATTGATGTCCAGTATCTCCACCTGGATCGAACTCACTGCCACCGGGTTGTGCGCCAGCACTTCCAAGCTAAGGAGGCAACGAGGCCGCTGCTCGCACAGTGCCTCTCGATCGATGCGCTCGTTGACGAAGAGCGCTCCGTTTGTCAAGTCCAGTTCCAGGTAGCGCGGGCTGGGCGCACCCAGATGGTTGATGCGCAGGCAGCCGGGTCCCAAGCGCCGCAGTTCCAGCCCCAAGGCTCTGGCCACGTTGCCCACGAGCGCGCCCGGGCTCTGCTCCTCCGGCACCGAGTATCGTAGCTGGGAGGCCGCTGGGCTTGGCAGCAGCACCAGCAGCAGGCGGAAAGACAGAAACAACAACCAGGGCAAGGGCCGCAGGGGTCGCGGATGCTCTGTCGCCCCAGGTCTGGTGCCCGCCAGCTCCATAGCCGCCGGCCCTGGCGGAGGCAGCCGGGGCAGGGCAGGAGGCAGCAGCTTGGCGAGCCTGCTCCTCGCCGGGCCCCGCCTCCGCCCTCGCGGCTCTTCACGGCTCACGCGCTACAAACGCCCGAGGCCGCTCCCCTCCCAGGCGTTCTCAAGGGCTCCGAGCCCTGCCGCCCCCACTGACTCCCCATATCCCCAGCTCCTCCACTCGCCTCCAGGCGCTCCAAGGATCTCGATTTTCTGCGACTACGCCGCTGCCGCCGCCGCCGCTGATGATGCTTTAGATGATGCTTTAAGGAAAGGGAGGGAGAAGCGGAGGGGGAGGGGGTGCTCCGCAAGTCCAGCTCGAATTCCGCACCCAAGTGGCGGCGGACTGCGACCGTGCACCGCCCTGCCACTCCACCTACTCCAACCCCATCTCCTTCATCCTCCATCCGCCGAATCCCAGCAGACCGCGGGAACACGGCCACTCCCTTTCTCCCTGCCCCCACGGTCCTGTTCATCCAGTCTCCACGCTCCCCGGCAGGCTTAACGCGTCTTTTAAGATTAGCCTGAGAAAAGCGGCTTAGAACTCTGACTATCAGCTCTCCAAGTCAAGATTTCAAAGCGCCATCCAGGAAAATAAACTGTTGGTTGACCTGGGCGGTGCCTTACCAGTCAGAGGGAGTACGTGCTGGGGAGGTGCTTTGGGGCTTTTGAAATGCAGACCCGTTGTTTACTTGACCCCCTCACCTTCCCAGCCACGGTTCTTAGAAGTACAGAAAGCCTTTAACTCCTTGGGCAAAGGGCAAAGAAGTGACTACTGGTGCCTTCTTCTAGGAGCAAGTCTAAAGCAAGCATCCTGGGATCCAGCACTCAGTCTAGCTCCCAGACACGTGCCTTAACTTTCAGTGTGTATTTTGGCAATTAACCAATATTTCAGGGTTTAAAATTCTCTTCTTATACAACTGACTCCGTAAAGCTTCAGGTAAAACTTGTATTCAAGCTGTTCCGTCACAGTAGGAAAAAATCTAGTAAAATTTCAGGCGATTCTCCCCTCGGGTTTCCTCTAATCTCTCAACCCTTTCTCATTTATCGCTCAAGACATTTTCTTTCAAAAGTGATTAATTCTTTTTTCTTTAATGGATGACAATGTCGTCAAGAGCCTACAAAGCCATTAAATCAGGAGAGTTTCTCTCCGTCTGCCCAGCCATGCTGGAATTTGAATTCGTTAATGCTTCGCAGAAAGAAATAAAAGATACCACCCTGCTGTTATTAAGCAAAATGTAGGCTGCTGGGATATATCTTTCAGTAGCAGAAAATTTCACTGTGTTACACCTCATCCTCCGTAAATACATGACTCCGGTGGGCTCCTGTACCTTTGTGCCCGCCTCGGACTCCCGTTAAACTGCTCTTCAGTGAGCAAGAAAGCTGAAGGGGTAGAGAAGGCCGGTCCGTGCTGTGTCATTGCCTCCCCGGTTTCCTAACAGCTTTCCCAGCCTTCTCATCTCTCCCACGAAGGCTTGAAACTACAGCCCCCTGTGCAAACTCCATCCCCTGAAACATTGTGGGTTTTTTTTTCCCTCATCTCTCAGTATCCTTGCGCTACATAGCTAGCCCCTTGGGTAACTTTCTAGCTATGTACTGGAAGGAAGCCCAGCGAGACCTGACACTTGGCATGCTTCCCTCCTTGAGAGGACAAGTTGACCAGGTCCAACATATCTTTCCTCCAACCTGCTACGTGTATTCACTAACAGCAGTCCACAACCTAACCGAGCTCTTCTAGCGAAGCTAGCTTCCCTCCTGCCCTGCCTATTTGTCCTCTTTGTTCCACCAAGGGTGCAGAGTGGGAAGTAATTTCCATCAAAATCTATTCCTGTCTCCTTTCTAAGGTCTCTGGCTTCTCCCTCTACTGCCTGTATCCTTCCCAAACATCCCCCAGTAGCTCTGTCTGTTTGCTGTAGTAATTTGATCTCAGGGAGCCTTAATCTCTCAAGAGCACAAATTGTAGACCTGGCCTATGTCCTCACCCATTACTTATTTCAGAAAACAAATGGCCTGTAAGTGGAATCAAGTTATAAGTTGTCAGGAAAAGTGACCTTTCTTCCCCTCAGCTCCTCCAGCCTTCACAGTCACTGCCACCAGTGCTCAAAGCCACTGGGTGTTGACCATGCATGGTCCTATGCCCCTGAAAAGATCACAGGCACTTAAGGAGGGGATAAAAGTGACAAGGACTTTGTGGTGCTTTTAGCAGAAGCCCCCAAGTGCTGTGCCTCAGAATTTGTCTTTCAGCCATATTACCATCCAGCAAGAGTACCGGCTGAAATGTCCATTTTTGTTTTTCAGAATTCTAAACTCCAGCTAGTATTTACTCCCCCAGTGACTGAAAGAGCAAAAGAGCATCAAAATTAGCCTCCTTTCCAGAGACTAAATGCTAAAAAGATGGTATTCTCTCTGTTTGGCACCACCGTGATTTCCTTTCTCACGGTATCATACTGCAGTTCCTGCCAACCTTACCAATGTTTGGAAAGTGATTGCTCAGACTGTCGCTAAGTGCCTCATTTACAAACATTTATATGAATTCATACTAATGCCTCAGTCACACCATTGTGCAATCCTTCCTTTTTTACCTTTAAGAATTCCAGTAAAAGCAGAAGAAAACTGATTGGGAACACATAATACAGAGGGAGTTGTACCTCTGCTAATGACCATGTGTCTTCTAACACCTAACTTTCAGCTTGCTTGTCTTAAATAGAGAAAACAAAAATAAAATCCATGAGGCTGTTGTTATGATTAGAATAAGTAGTACGTCATTTGGAAAGTATGTGGCAAGCACACCGCTGTTGGTGATGGTAGTGGTGTTTATTAAGTGTAACAACTGTTAGTATCAAATGACATCTTGCCTAATCATCTGTATGCAGCATGACTCCTTAAAAACAGACAAGCAACTGTGATATTTAAGAAGAAAATGGTGGCTGGGGACAGTTGAGTATACTCAAGGTCTAGTCTTCCCAAAGTTTTCAAATATTTCTAGAACTTATCCTGTATCTTAAAAACAAAAAGAAGCAACTCTCTTTCATTTCAAGAACATATATGTACGTATGTATGTATATATGTATGTATGTATATATATATGTGTCTTCTTGTTGTCTGTTTGTTTTATGTGTCTTTGCAAGCATCTGATATATGTGAGAGGCCAAAACAGATCTCAGACCCCCAGGAGGTAGAGTTAGAAGTGGTTATAATCTACCCAATATAGGTAGATACTGAGGATCGAACTCAGGTCCTCTGGAAGAGCAGTGAGTGCTCTTAGCCACTAAACCAGCCCCAGGAAAAACTTATACCCAGATATCTAGTAAAATTACTAATCACAAAATAAAATTGCTTCTAGATATAATTAATAAGAAGTGACATGATAAAAAAAAAGAACCATAAGACAGGGCATTGTGTTTGTTTACCCCCGTGATAGACAAGAATTTCAAAATCATATTCCTCAATTATATTTCTTAATTATATTTGTAAAATACATCTCCCATGAGATCACTGAGCATGGCAACAAAACCCAATCACAACAGAATTGAGATTGCAAGAAAAAATATTCAAACTCAGAAAATTCTCCTAATTCACATCAATTTTCCTTTATTACTGGCATAATTATAAACCATTTTACTTTGAGTAACCAAACAGCTTGAGTTTGGGTGCATAGGGCAAACAGGATATACTGTCTAGTCACCAGGATATGAATATGTGTCACAGAGAGGAAGATCTAATTTTCTTTTTCTTTTTAAGCTTTGTTGTTTTAAGACGGCTTCTTGCGTAGCCCAGGTTGTCCTTGAGTTGGCTGTGTAACCAATGCTGGCCATGAACTCCTGATCCTCCTAAACCGAACTCCCAAGTGCTAGAATTGTAGTCATGTACCACCACGCCTGGCCTCTAATTTTTATTTATAACTAGTGAATGAGTGCTCCCCTACAAACTAAGCATATATTACACAATAAAAAGAGGGACAATAGACGTCCTTAAGAGTTAGAATGACACAAAGTAGTTTGAAAAGTGACGTCTCATAGTTGGCATAGGAGCACTCTTCTATAACTAATACGGACCCTCGAGAGGCAAAGGCCGCGAGCTCATGAATTCAAGGCCAGTGAGATACTGTTTCACAAACTTTATCTTGTTAAGAAGGGACAGACTCTTGATCTTCCTCTCTAGGGCACAACACTCTGCAGTAAGTTTATGTCGTTATGTGTAGTAGTCTAAGGACTGGGAGGGATGGCAGTTTTTCCGTATGAAATGATAGTGGAATATTTTATCTATTCTTTACCCAGAAAGAATGTATTAAGAAAATGTTTGGGTTTAACTACTGGATTTTGGGAAGGGATCCTCTGAAACTTTAGTCCTGAGAAACTGATATGTTGTGGCTACGTGGTTGAGGCATCTCAGAATTGTTTAGAATAAACAAGAGGCTCAAGCCATTCTTAGAAAAGAAGAGACAGGCCATACGCTTGGGTCAGATAGCTTAATACCAACAGATGAAATTAAATTTTACTTCTCCACCAGTGTTCTCTGTTGAGGTGACCTAATAAGAATCAGAGATTGAAGGCTGAACTTCATTAGGGAAAATCTTACATAAACCATTTATTTTCTTCATTTCATAAAATACAGTGGCTAAGCAGAGCTTAAATCTAAGGTTAAGAGGAGAGAAAGAGTAAAAGCAATAATAAAAGATATGTGGAGACCAGAGACAGAAGAACCTAGAAGCTTTCAGACCAGATAGCGTGGACTACACAGAGCAGAAGAGACCTTTTCTTAACAGAGTGGAAATAGAGAGCTGACTCACCAAGATGGTCCTCTGACAAGCTAGGTGTGCTGAAAGTATGCTGAGGCTTGAACACACGCATGTGCATGCACATGCGCATGCACACGCACACATACACACCTGTGTATCACACACACAACAATAGATACATTCTAAATGATGTTCGATGCTTGAATGATCATTCAAGGCACTAAAACAACTTACAGCTGGACTACACAATGTTAAATTTTAAGTCTTTGAGTTTAATATAAATGCCTCCCACACCCCAACATTACTGAGGTTATTACTGAATACTCAGAAATGAAGGCATTCTTGCTGGGACCCAGTCTATCTCATCTGAAAACCAGTAACTTCAAACTAATCACACAGACCTAAAGTCTATTTGTTTTTCTCCAAACGGGCATTTTGGGGTTTTCATTGATAGAATCATTGATGGGCAGCAGGGGACACAGTTTTCCTGAAATTTATGGAGAGTTTAACAGTTTCCTACTTACCCACAAAAAAACAGATAAAGTAAGAAAACAGCAGTACAGTATAGCTAAGCGGTTTTCTATAATTCTTTGAATAGCAGTGTCAAAGGGGATTTATTAATGGAATGGCTCAACTTGGAGGAATTCTAATGAGGGATCTACCCTCTATCGTGTCCTCGTCAGCATTTTCTCAATGACTCAAGGCTAGTAGGCAGCAATGTACAGGCCAATCCAGAAGCAACTTGAACCCTTCTGGAACAAGAATTAGGACTGTCTAAGACAAGATGCATCTTAATTCAC